AAGGCAGACTGGCACATGGCAAAGAACTACAGCTCATGGCGGCAGAACACAGCAAAGTAACAAACACAAACACAAGGAAAGAAATGGCCAGAAGCACCTTCTTCCTCTCCCTTACATATGCAAACTATCCACTCCAGGGCGGGTGCAGCTGTCACACCCATAATCAATCAAACTCTAAAAGCCTGCCCCATGACCGCATGAGGCTTTGGGGGGACACCCAGACACAAACCATAACAGGGTTTTTATGTCACCACTTTGCTACGGAGCTGAAAGAGAGAAGTGGGCCACATGTGAATGAACCAGTCTAGCCACAATCAAAACACACCACAGCTGTGTGATCTCATTTGATTTTCCAAATTCCCTTTGAGTCACAGGAAGGTGAAGGGGTTCACCAGTAAGCTACAGTTGCAGACCAAAGGCAGGGGCCCCACCTTGTTCATATTATCTATTGTGTGTTTCTCAGGTGCCATCAATGAGAAGGCCACGCATCCTGGTTACTATGAAGACCTGGTGGAGAAATCCATGGGGAAGTATAACCTCGCCACCGAGGAGATTGAGAGGGACTTACACCGTTCTCTTCCAGAGCACCCAGCTTTCCAGAATGAAATGGGCATTGCCGCTTTGCGGAGAGTCTTGACTGCTTACGCTTTCAGAAATCCCAACATAGGGTATTGCCAGGTAAACGTCACAGAGTGTTTACACATTTAAAGTTTATTTTGTTTTATTAGCCACTCAATAACGTAGAGGAAAGCCCATGGGTGATGAGACTTCCAGCATACCAGCGACTCTCAATCTTGGCACCACTGACTGTGGGTTTGATGGTTCTTTATGGTGGGACTGTCCTGTGCTTCGTAAGCTGTTCGGTGCCCCCCAGCCCCACCACTAGACACCAGTAGAACTTCCCAGTTACAACAATCAAAGTTGTTTCCAGACACTGCCAAATTGACCCTGAAGTATGAAGTCAGCCTGGGTTGAGAATTACTACTCTGAGAAAGGAGCCACAGGACAAGTGTTCCCCTTCTGGATCAGCCACTGACCCAGGAAAGCTCCTTCTGATCTCTCTTTCTGAGTGCAGTCCTTCCGTTATAGGTTGCTACTGCATTCCTACTTTGAGTCTTCATAACCAGTGTCGTCCTGGAGAATACAGCTTTTGATTGCCAGGGTTATATTTTAACATACGCATAAATAAATGTTTAACTCTGCGTAATAACAACAAAAACATGTCCACCTACCAATTACAGTTGTTTCTTGTAGTACCAGTAAAGTGAGAACTTGGGTAGCACCAAGATAATGTGACCTTAGATTCAAAGACTATTTCATCGAGAGGCATTTCTTGACTATCCAGCGAAAAGCTAAAAGGGGACTAATTCCTATTCCTGTACACACACACACACCTTTCTCCCTCCTACACACATACACACTTGTCCCTTTTACCACATTATTTATCTTTATGATAGCACTTACTTTAAATATGTCCCCAAAGTGATGAGTTAACCTCTACATCTTTGCTTTTCTCCCAGATACCAGCATTTAAACCCTGTGAGGTGTTTCCTCAAACTGACCCCACCCACTCCCCGACTCCTCAGCTCCCACTCCAGAACCCGTTACAAAGTCGAACTTCGAAAAACCTCTCTTTGCTTGATGACTAAGGAACCGACTGTGACCATGATCATGGACTAGAATCGACAGGTTCATTCTCCAGAGGAATTTCAATGATTTCACTTAGGAGCGTATGGAGCAAGACTTGCAAGAAAGAACCTATTAGACCAAAATACCTTTTTTGAAATTTATATTGTAGTCATCTAATGAACAATTACAGGTTTCTAGAGGATCAAAAGAGAAAGTATAGAAGAGAGTTGACTTCTAGTATAGTAGAATTCACCTTTGTCTTTTGATCTTTCTTTTTAATTAAGAGGGCTATTAAAATAGCTGAGCTGTTGCGTGCTTATGAGTTATCTGATAACATCTTTTAGAATTTAAATTACTACTTATCAGGACCATCTCTGCCCAGATGGAAATATTGGAAAGGGCTCTAACTTTGAAAGGTTTCATTGTTCTCAGAAGTGAACTCAGAGCCTTGTGTATTTGGTTATAGAAACCACTATGGAAGGTTAAAAAGGAAATATTTACCTCTCTGAGGTAAGGGTTAAGAAAACAGTAGTGAGAGATTTCATCAGGTTGCTGAAAACTTCATCAAACAGCCTTTGGACAGTTTTTGAAATGAAAATTTGCCTATAATATGTGTTAGGGCTTTGGTGCATATCAGTGCTAGTGAAGACCCTGAACGGTCATTGGCTCAAGAGCCAATGATTTTTACATTTTTAAAGGGTCAGAAAACAAAACAAATCCCAGAGGAATATTGGCAGAAGGTTATGTGTAGCCTGCAAAGCGTAAGAATTCTATCTGTTCTTTTACAGAAAGGGTTTGCCAGCCCCTGTGAGAATAACTCAGTAATTTTTTTCAGGTTGACAGAAATGGTTTATATTTTAAAGTGTACTTCACGTATTTAAAACATATTTGGTGACATTGTCTTTCATTCCATTAGGCCATGAATATTGTCACTTCAGTGCTACTTCTTTATGCCAAAGAGGAAGAGGCTTTCTGGCTGCTAGTGGCCCTGTGTGAACGCATGCTTCCAGATTACTACAACACTAGAGTTGTTGGTATGTGGTGATGTGATTAACATCTTAACCCATATCTCAACAGAGATGTTTTACAGCCATACCAGTTTTTCCGAGATTGAAATGAGAGAGCTTGAATAAATATAGACTATAAATAAAGAGGTCCCACAGAGCCTAAAAGGATTCATACATATCACTGTTACAGGAATTTTTTTAGAAAACTCTTGATGTAGGTGACACTCTGTACTGTGTGAGAGTTATACCAAGTATACCAGCCGTTAAAGTAGAGGTTTGGCCCCACCCCCGGGTTATTTAATAAAGAGGATGGTACCTATGGAGAGCAGTGTTATTCAGAGCAAAGTTTGCCTGGAGTGGAGAAAATAGCATGTGAAGGTTTATCCCAAGTTTAGTTAAGAAGATATTTTTCAGAACTGGTTTTGTTGCAGAGCAAACAACCATTGAATTTTTGCTGTTATTCCTTATCATCCTTTTAGGTACCAGACATTTCATTTTAGCAGGACAAGCTTCTCATTGCTGGTGTAGTACAATGTATGCTTTTATGTTTCCCTCTTGTTTTCTGTCTATATTTATAAACCTTTGTCCAAAGTCTGATTCATGAAAAATATTCTTTAAAAATGTCAGTAAGTTGATCATGAATTTATATAGTTGAAATGCTTTTAAATTTTAAAAAATAATTTTTTTAGTAATGATTTATGAGTGGAGTCTGTGCCTTTCAAGATCTTTGTTGTTGTTATTGTTTTCAAAGAAGTGTTTACCAAGTATATTGTTTATTTTTTCCATTGCTGGGGCAAAATACCTTTAGTCCACCACTACAGCAGAGGTTCGTTTGGCTAACGGTTTCAGTGGCTTCAGTCCATGGTCATTTGTCTCCAAGGTAGAAGCATCATGGTGAGAAGGCATGGCAAAACAAAACTGCTCACTCAGTGGCAGCTGGGAAGCAGAACACAGGGCAAGATCACCGCTAAGAGATGTTCCTTCCAAAGTCACACTCCCAGTGACTCACCTGCTTGAACTGGGCCCCACCTCCTAACAGTACATTCAGCTATGAAAATCAGTGGATTCACCCACTGATGAGTATAGTGCCCCAGGACCCAGTCACCTCTCTAGGAATCTCTTAATCCAGTCTACTGGACAATAAGATTAACCAGTACACCAAGTAAGCTGCTTTAGGACATGTAGAGCTACTAGATGTATATTTCATACCTAGCCAAACACTGGCCAAAACAATAACTAACCTAAACTAGCCTTTTGATCAACCATTACTGTTGTCACATTCGTTCTCTTTTATGGTAGGAAAACCCAGAAGAAAATGCAGCCAGAACTAACCTGGTGACTGAGCTATGTCAACACCTTGGTCTAGTAATACAGTAATGGCAGAACAGTTAGTAAAAAGGAAGTGTACTGGATTACTAGAGTGAGATGTTTTGATTGGGCTCTGTAGTAAGAAGTTGCCGTTGGTTAATCTATAACTTTTTGTGTCACCCCTGCTCAGGCGCACTGGTGGACCAAGGTGTCTTCGAGGAACTGGCCCGGGACTATGTCCCGCAGCTGTATGACTGCATGCAGGATCTGGGTGTGATCTCTACCATCTCCCTGTCGTGGTTCCTCACACTGTTTCTCAGTGTGATGCCCTTTGAGAGTGCAGTGGTGGTTGTGGACTGTTTCTTCTATGAAGGAATCAAAGTGATATTCCAGTTGGCCCTCGCTGTGCTGGATGCGAACGTGGACAAACTGTTGAACTGCAAGGACGATGGGGAGGCCATGACCGTTTTGGGAAGGTACGGTGTTCCACCTGACTTGAAAAACCACCTGTGGTTTTCTTCCCTGTGCTTTATCTCTTTCTCTTTCACTTCACAAGTCTTAATTGAGTTGATAGCCATAAAAATCTCTGGCTACAAATTTATTTCCATATACTTGTTTTTTAGAAGGAAGGAAACTTTCTTGAGGCTGTTAAGAAAATCTGTCTTTTATGGTATAATGCACTTTTCAGAAAGTGGATGGCAAACGTAGCACAGGAGAATTTCTGGTTCGTCTGTAGTAACTGCCCAGCTCTTCTTCTTGCAGGTACTTGGACAGTGTGACCAACAAAGACAGCACCCTGCCTCCCATCCCGCACCTGCACTCCCTGCTCACTGATGACGTGGAGCCCTACCCTGCTGTGGACATCTTCCGGCTCATTGGAACTTCCTATGAGGTAGGCCTGGCCTCTTGGCCTGGCTGTGAGTGGATGGCACCCGGAGGTTATCACGGGGAGCCGGATGTGATCCCCATACTGCTAGTGTGCATCATCACAGAACACCACAGACTGGCCATTTATACAGAACAGAAATTTATTTCTCAGGATTCCGGAGGCTGGAAAGTCCAAGATCGAAGTGCAGCTTAGAGCCCCATCTCTCAGCTTCCAAGATAACCCTTGAATGCCACATCGTCCAGATGGGAGGAACACCTTGTCCTCACACAGCAGAACAGGATAGAGAACCCTTTCCTGCGCAGAATTAATCCCTAAGGGTAGAGCCCTCCCAACCTCGGCACTTCCCGTAAGGCCCCACCTCCCGACACCGTTGCACTGGGAATTAAGTTTCAACATGAGTTTTGTAAGGGGCAAAAGTATTCAAACCATAGCGTGACTCATAGGTTTACCTGCTTCCTTTTACACGGTAAGAACTAGTTGCCAAAAGTAAGCAGCTACCTAGTGGCTAATAGTTTTCATTTCAAGAGATGGACACTGGGTCCTACCATTTCTAGTGGGTCTAATACTGTAGTAGCAAATGGCACAACAAACTCTGGTCCTTTAGTTCTTTGTTGTGCGCATTCTGAAACCTGACCTGGCGGCATCTCAGATTCAACTCTGGGTAGATCAGGGAGGGGCTATGGGGAGCGGGCGGCATGGGGACCTTCACAGGTCAGTTCATTTCCTGTTTCCATGCTGAGTACTAGGAACCCTCTGAATTAGATAGTCTGAGACACTTAGAACACCTTTAGTGGACTAATGTGAACTATAATGTAGTACTCCTCTAAAAGTGCTTAGCCGGGATGAGGGAGGATGCCTTCTGACCCATGATTCGCTGGGCTTAACCTGGTCTGCTTCTGAATTCCAGAAGAGAACTAGGAAGCTTCTAGGGTAAGAGAACCACAGTGCCACTTGTTCCCTTGGCAACTGCTGATTTGTGGGGTCCCCAAGACTCGGTCCCTGTGGCTTCTTATTTCCTAATCCGTGGCTCTGTAAATGTTTTTAGAAATGATCATTAGGCACGAGAAAGCATGAACATTCCGCTAAGCACAGTGTGTCTTCTCCAGACATTTTGTGTATTCCAGCTGGCAACAAACCCGGTACAAGAGAAATAGTGAAGTATTGGTTGAGGTCAGAAAGTTTCTTAGGGGCTGGGGATTTAGCTCAGCGGCAAAGCGCCTGCCTGGCAAGCGCGAGGTTGTGAGTTCGGTTCCCGGTACCGGAGAAACACCAAAAAAAAAAAAAAAAAGAAAAGAAAGTTTCTTAGAGTCAAAAATTAAAATTGATATGGATCTAGGAACCTTTTCAGAAATTTTTTAACTCATGATGGATGAAAGACTGACTTTTTAAAAAAATTTCATTGAGACTCCATGTTTATTGAAAACATATTTGCAGTGTTTTAGAGTCATAGAATTAGTACATGATTATGACAGATATTATAAACAAATAAGAAGATAAACTGTGGGCTGGGGATGTAGCTCAGCAGCACAGCACTTGCCTGGCAAGCACAAGGTTGTGAGTTCGATCTCTGATACTAAAAAAAAAAAAAGATAAACTGAACCATGAGCATTTCACCATGTTTCCCTTAACCATATTTTTGTATTTGTAATATACACTTAAAAATCAAGCCTGTACTAAATACTGCTTCATTGCACTTTTATTTTTTGTTAAAACAGACCATGAACGTTTTCTAACACACGAACTATTGTGTGAAGACATGATTTTAATAAATTACTTACATTTTGTTTAATGGGTCAACAAAGTTTATTTTAGTGATCCCCCTTTCTTGGACATTTACTTTGATTTCTTCCAAATTTTCAGCATGATATTCTATGTCCAACTCGTACACAAGTACCACATCTCTGATTAATTTTCTTAGAATCCTAGGAATGAATTTGCAGCAATGGATCAAAAAATGTGAATGATTCCTGGCACATGCTGTTCGATTTCTGTAGAGTCCCAAGTTATATTTTCACCCTCAGAGACTGCAAATTGCTGTTTCACTTCACTGTCTTCATAATTGGTCATTAGCCTAATACATTTTTTTCAAAACCACTTCCCCAGGACTACTGGATAGTACTCAAAAAAAAAGAACGCCGCAGTGACTTGATCTTTCAGCAAATGAGCCCGAGAGATGGTAGGCAGTAGTTTATTGTGCATGTGGGTGGTTTTTCTAAAGGGATCCCTTGAACCTTTATTGTTAAAAGGAATTCTAGACCAGCAGTAAAGCTTAGGATGTGGAAATTCAGTGTTACTCTCCACAGCAGATAAGCTAGCATCGTGCTGAGGTTGGCACTTGGCCCATTTTTAATGGGAAAGGGATGAGACTGAGAGAAGCCCAGGGCCTGGTTTCCATTTACATCCCGTCTGGCTGATCCCTCAGGGCGGACCTGAGACTGCCGGACATCTGATCTCGGACCCAGCAGCAGCTTCCTTCCTCCACCTGCGAGAGAACCTCTTGTTTATGTCATTGCCTGTGTTACCTGGCCTTTCTCTTCCTGCTTGAGTGTCATTCCACTGACCACATCCAACAGAGGAACTTAACACGCACACCAAGTGTTTCTCTGTCTTCTGTCCTCCCTCCTGACCACCGTATTGGTGGTTCTCAGTTCTGCCTGTGCATTAAATCCTTTTTTAAAAATTGAAAAGCAAGCTTTTAAAAATACACTAAGAGACTTCGTCCTCTTCTGTTTAACTCCATCAGAAGTGCAGAGGCGCAGTGCACGCACAGGTCCCACCAAGAACAAAGCTACATTCCCACATCACCCAAAGGTCTTCCCGCCAGGGGCTGGAGAGGACGGAAAGTGAGATTTCACTCTTGGGGCACTTAGGAAGTAGAGTTCTCACGTCTGCTCACCAGGCCGACCCACACACCACCGCCAGCACCCTGCGGACCTCAGGCCAGGTCACAAAAGAGGGAATGGGGAATGTTGGCTGCAGGATGGACTGAGTGGTTTTTGTTTGCCATATTTTTAGCATTTCATTCTGTCAGAGCTCCCCCAGAAGGAGAAGTGGGGGTGCCCCTATACTGTTTCTTTAGGAAGCCTCCAGAAGTGGCCAGGCAGGATCTCCGAGTGCTTGCTTCCCCTCTTAGGTCGGGACGCAGAAGGAGGAGTCACTGCTTTGTCCCATGGCAAGTGGCAAAGGCCTGGCCAGGGAGCAGGCCGGCGTGTTGTTCCTAGTTGAGGAATACCTGTCAGTTAAACACAAAGGAGAGAAATAGTTCTTTTTCTTTAGCAAAAAGCCAGTGTTTAACATGAGTTATTGTGGGTGCTTTTAGAGGTTAGCGTGTCCTTCCTTCCTCACAGCAGTTCTACAAGCACAGCTTCAGGGTCCCATTTTATAGAAGAAACTGAGATTCAGAAGACTCTAGGATTGCTCCATCTCACAGCCAGCTAGTGCGAGAACAGGAACTTAACTCAGATTTTGTCTAGCTCCAAGTTTATGTTCTGTTCTCCTTAGAGATGAGAAAGAACATGCTGCTGTGGCAGAGCATAGGCGGAGGAGCCATGACGTCACTGTGTGGCCTCGGGTGACTCGGGCTTATTTAACCCCCCAGGACCTTGGTTTTTCTCATCTGTAAAATGCAGGTGGCAGTTACAGCTCAGTAAGGCATTATAAGGATCACATGAGATGGCATATGAATGTCCTTTGATGGGTGCCTCGCCTCACTGTGATTCCTGCCAAGTCGCTATGGCGCCACCCACTGGAGGCCATGTGCTATGGCGCTGAGCCTGTATGGCTAGGAAGCAATATGCTGCGGGCTACTAGAGACCGTGTGCTAAGCCCCACCCTTTTTCCCTCTGAGTCAAATTACGACTTCCTACTTCCCTTTCTGTAATATCATGTTTTCTTTTCCCACGCTCCTGCCCAATCCTGGTCTGCCACGTCAGGCAGCCTACCCCCTAAACACCGCCTCCAGCCTGGCCCTATTTAACCTTTGACCCTAGGCCCGGCGTTCAGGAGTTCCATGTCTGTCTTTCCTACTATGGTCTTCTCCATTCTGGCAATGTTTTCTTTCTGTGCTGGAAAAACCTATCATCCTTGGCAGTTGTAGGTGCAATAAAATGTCCTCTCCTTATCTCTCTTGCTCACGGCATATTACAGCCTAGTTTCATGTAAACCCAGCCCATCATTAGGTAAGTATATGGTATGATCAAAAAATACGGTAATTTAAAGATTATTATAGTAAAAGATGCATTCCCATTAATCCCTGTTTGCTTTGAACACACGTTTCCCATCGTTCTTGCCACTTTTTGAGGCAATTCTGGAAGTTCTCTTTCATTAGTTCTTTCTTTAGTTGCACTGACATGGCTGCCTCAGGGTCCTGCATGTATTGAAACGTTTAGGCCGCGATATAGCTCAGGGGCACAAGCGCCTGCCTGGCAAGCGCAAGGTCCTGAGTTCGATTTCTGGTACCAAAAAATATCAAAAGAAATGTTTACCTTTCATGGTCATTTTGACTCTGGGGAAGAGCCACAATCCACCTGGTGCCCGATGTGGTGATGAAGGTGGATAAGGACCCACCGTAATGTTTTTACAAGCCTGTCTTTCCATTGAATGGCTCTCAACAGCAGCATTACTGTATTTTTATTGCAGCCAGTAGTGACACATACGAAGGAGGACTTCCAGAACTGCTTCAGAAGGTGGCGAGGATGATAACTGTTGAAAGTGAGGGGGAGCATGTTGAGGGGGGCTAATGGCAGTGTTTCTTTTGCTATAATAATTTTTTTTAAACATTCACCATGTATTGTGATCATGCCTCATGTTTTTTCAGTGGCTGTTCATGGCACTTCTTTTGGGATCAAAAGACTTGCCTTTCTGGGAGTTTCTCTTTCCCAGTCCAAGGTTTAATCCTAGAGCGAGTTAACTGTTTTTCATCACTAATGGCGACTGTTGAGTTAGGCTGTTCAGTGAAAATAAGCAGTGGGTCTTTCTTGTTGAAAAGAAGCTGATTCAGTATGTAGAAAGCACTTCTCTAGAGATAAGAAGGTTCTCCCATAAAACTTGGTTTTGTTGGGTTTGGGGGGTTTGTTTGTTTGTTTTTAATACTGAGGATCAAACCCACTGAGTATATTTCCAGCCCTTTTTATGTTTTGAGACAAGGCTGGCCACAAACTTGACATTCTTCTGCCTCAGCCCCTCCAGTAGCTGGGATTCCAGGCATGCGCCACCACACCCAACTTTTTGTTAGGTCCAGACCCACTCCTTGCATTCCTGGAGGAAGGTCAGCTGGCCCAGAGTCAGAGATGTCCATGTTCTCTTGTCCTGACGATCAGAAAGGAATGCGAAGGTGAAAGCTCAACTCCCTGATTAGTCCTTGTAAAGCAAGAAGAAAGTAAAAAGTACTAGGGAGGCCTCATCTTTGGCTCTACCTTCCAACTTGGGAAATATGACAGTTCAGAGTCTGCCACATGGACCACTCTGAACAGCTGTGCTGTTTATACATTGTCAAGTAAAATACAGGACTAATGTTAGACGGATCTTGTGGTAGTAAAAAAAAGAGTACTCATGTTTTTCTGAAATTTTAATTTAACCAGATAACCTGTATTTCCTGTTTCTGTTGGTGGAATCTGGCAACCCAGCATTTTATGGAGCCCCTACTATGCTGTGCAGCAAGTCAGAGACATAAAGTATTCACCAGTCTCCCAGGGACAGAGTGGTCCTTCCATAACCAAGTCAGATGTCCTTCCTTTGCGTAGAACTCTGTGGTTTTGCCTCTCACTCAGGATAAAATCCCAAAGCCTGGAAGCCCTACGTGTACTTCCAACCCATATATACTTTTTTGGGGGGTATATATACTTAGGAATGGGGCTCTTGGTCATAGGAACACATATGTTCAGATGTTATAGATGCTGCTATACAAACTTCCGGAATGGTTGTACCCATTGATAGTCCAACTCACAGTGCCTGAGTTCGGTTGTACCTTCTTGCCAACACTTGTATTGTCTGTCCCCTTTCCTTTATCCTCTGAATGTTTTTACCCATTGTTGTCATTACAACAGGAAGCCTCCAGTTTTAAGCAATTTGTTTCTCTTTTGTATCACCAGGAGACTTAAAACCTTACATGTTCCTTCTCTGCCGACAAAGAGATTCACTTGGCTTTTAAAGTTTAATTCAACTAACATGCAGGTGATGCTGGGCATTTCAGAGATGCCTTAGCTCACGTCATCTCCCACCCTGCATCGCAGCATGGCTTTCTGGACCAGACAGATAGATGCTTCAAAAGGAGCAGGAAGCCTCACACAGACATTTCTCCCAAGCTCCAAGTCTAGTAATTAGCTTCCTTCCTGTCAAGGCAACGCTCCCTCTAAAGAGGAGTGTTTCTTCTCCATGCACAAATAGCCTAATTTAAACTTTCCTCTTCTTGGTAACTACTGTTTCAGGAAGACGCATATGACTGTACAGTTCAGTTCACTTGCTGAAATGCATGACTATTTCCAGACATTTATTTGTGGTCGCTAAGGGCTTTAAAACAGTACATGAAAGTGTAATCTCGGTTGCCTACCAAGTGGCAAGTCCTGTGTGACCTGTACGTCAAGAACGCCTCACCCTCTCTGCAGACAGCACAGGACACTGCTTTGGCAGACTTTTCTAGAAATACTAGTATTACTTGTTTTTCTTGCAGAAATTTGGAACTATTCGGGCAGACTTAATTGAGCAAATGAGATTCAAACAGAGACTTAAAGTGATCCAGACCCTGGAGGATACCACGAAACGCAACGTGGTGAGTTTTTGGACACGCAGCAGAGGCCCTTTTCTCTCCATTCCTGCTATCTCTCCTGCCCGCTCATACATTCCCACTTGACAGAACTGAGGACAACCTGAACGAAGCATGTTAGGGACTTTCCCAGCATGGCATCTTTTGAGCATGTGAAATTAATTGTGCGCCTTTCTTTCATAGGTGCGAACCATTGTGACAGAGACTTCCTTTACTATCGATGAGCTGGAAGAACTGTATGCTCTTTTCAAGGTGAGTTTCAGAGTGATTGCGTGTCCTCTCCAAAGATTAAAAAAGTTTACTTTAATAATTCAGTGTTCTGCTCAGTGGTACAAGCGCCTGCCTGGCAAGTACAAGGTCCTGAGTTCGATTCCTGGTGCCCAAAAATTTAAAAAATTCAGTGTTCTTTCTGTTAAACCAAGGGATCACAAGGTACGAAACTGGATTACTTAGTCTGAAAGTAAACAGATTCTTGTCATAATTTATGCTGTTTTATCTGTCTTCCTCTCCAGATAATATTGTAACTTTTTCTGAACCTAATAGGTGATTGCTTTCTAAAACTCATCAGGGCAGTGGTAATCAAGTTTAAATTCTGCCTGAAGTTTTTATTATGCACATTTCCTGTATTGAACTATTAAGTGACTTTAAGAAAAAATAATATATAACTAAGATAAGAATAAAGCTATTTACATGTCTAAAGAAAAGCTTCATTGGTTAAATTCCTGTGCTTTCCATTTTAAAATTGAACTCCTACCAGTCTTGGTCTGTGATAAGAAAAGATTATCCAGCAACTAAGGAACGCAAAATTTCTTTATTCTAAAGTGTTTTTTCAATGCTGGAGACTGAACGCAACCCTTTAAAAAAGGGCCTTTAAAAAAAATTCTTTTTTAAATTTTGAGATAGGGTCTTGCGAAAACACCGTAGCGCCCCAGCTGGGCTTGAATCCCAGAGTGCTGGGATTACCAGTATACGCCACCATACCCAGCTCCTAGAAAAAAATGTTTTTGCCATATTATCATTATCAACCTCACGGGTTAAAATGTAGCAACTGATGGAAAATATTTAAAACATATCTTTGAGGTAAGTACACATTTTATGACAATAATTACTGCCAGAACTAAATTTGACCGTTTTAAGCAGTGCAAAGATAGTATAGGGGAAAGCGTAAGGGCAGAAGCACTGATCTAGTTGGAGCACTGGTTCCTAGAGAGACTGGGGGTTTGGGAGTGAGGAGTCTCACCAATCGTCCTGCTGACCCGGCCGCCACTAGAGGGCACCACGGCCTTACGTAGTTGTGTCTCACTGCTGCCTGGCGAAGTTCCCTTCCTAGTGTGTTGAGTTGATAAATTAGTAATCAGTTATCAATGTGGGATAGTCCCTTTGTCCTTTTGATGAGGATACTGAAGCCCGGAGAGACCGAGGCACCCTGGGTTCCTCGGCTGGTTAGTGATGCGCTTCGTGCAGCAGCAGCAGAGTCAGCAACAGGTGGGCGACAACTTCCTCTCCACCCCGTCTCTCTTCGGCTCCTGAGCGTGACGCTGCTGTCCGGGGCCAGCTCAGCACTCTGCATCCAGGCCTGCTGAGCACCTGTAGCTGATGCTCAGGGTAAGTGAGTTAGTTGTCCATGATGAAATCCTTCAGTTTCCCAAAGGAGAAACTATGATCTAACTGCATCAGCTTTTAAAAAGGGATGCTGAAGATTAGAAGCACCTGCTTCCCAGGGTGGTTGGGGGTTGCGCCAGGATGCTAGGGCACTGACTCAGGATCAGGAGTGGGCCTGGGGCAGCAAGGCCATGAGCAGACAAGAGGAAGGGCTGAGGCGGAAGAGAGGCGGCGGATCTTGCAGGGCCCTGAAGGAGGAGAGGAGCAGGGCTGTTTGTACAGAAGTCCCAGGTCCTGAGGTCGATGAAGCCCCGACTTACCTGGGGCCCTCAGCAGTCCACAACCCAGCGCGTCATTCGGGCCCTGAGCCCGTGCCCAAAGAGAGCAAGCTACCCTCGCTCACAGGGACCCTGAGACGTTGGCTGGTAGCAGGGACGGGAGAAGTCTCTGGTACTGTGAACCACAATAACAGCTTCAGCTATGGATGCTTTCTTCTGCGCTCAGAGCATTTCAAGTGGCTTTAAGTAATTTTCACAAGCATTTGTTGAGTCACTACTGTGCCGGTGTCTGAGTGTTTCCCTGCACGTACAAAGGAGTGGTGCAGCTCCTCTCCTGGAAGCTCACTGCTTGGACTTTGGGGTAGAACGTGGGGGAAAGGGGAAAGGCTGCACTGAGGCAGATGTGGTGGGACGTACAGCTCGGGGCCCCTTGTCTAGCTTCCCTTTGTCTTTCCGCCTTGGTCCTTCTGTTTTGCTCTTGGGCCTACGCCTCCAAGGATGGTTTGTGGGGTCTCATCGGAGAGCAGGGGAGAGGCCTGGCCTGCCCTCTTCTGACCATCGTGAGCTCCGTGGAAACCTTGCACCCTGTCCGGGCCTGGCTCAGAGTTACTTGAATGCTTAGTGAAGGAGGAAGTGCTCTGGGGAGCTCTTATCACCTGTCCCCAGGGCTTGCTGGGCTCCCCTCCTGCTGGTTCAGAAAAGGCTTCAGGCCACTGTGACCTCCCCACCCAGCCCTCCCTCTGATGTCCCCCTGCTCCCCCCGCCAGCAGCCAGGAACGCAGCCCGGGGCCCTGGGGACCTGGACACAGCCTCCGCTCCTCTGCCCAGGCTGCACTGCACACAGGGCAGCGGCTCCCCGCTCCGCCTCCTCCTCGACCCCCCCGCCCCCACCCTCCTTTCTTAGCTGATTAGCTGCAGTTCCCAGCAATCCCTGGTGCTTGCTTTACTCCTTGGTCTTCTTTTCTCTTTTCTGAGAGCAGAACTGAAGTCCTCAGACTCACAACCTTTGCAGTATCTGTAGGCAAGGGAGAAGGATCTGTTTATCCCCGTAGTCTTCCTAGAATGGGTGTGTTCGTCTCCTGGAGTCGCAGGACCCTCCTGCACAAAGTCGCTGCCTGGCTTCCAAGGACAGGATCGGCGGTTTGCTGAACCCAGATCTCTTTTCTCACCTCCGTGGTTCCTGCAGAGTGACTTTTCTAGCACTATTCGCAGATGTGTGAAGCCGGAAGACCGCACGCTTCCAGATTATAAACTGTGTGACTGTGATGCTATGTCTGTGACTCGGGGCCACGGAAACCCCCAGGGACCGCAGAAGCTGATCCTCCTATTTGGTCTTTTCCAGGCAGAACATCTAACCAGCTGCTACTGGGGTGGGAGCAGCAACGCGCTGGACCGGCACGACCCCAGCCTGCCCTACCTGGAGCAGTACCGCATTGACTTTGAGCAGTTCAAGGGCATGTTCGCGCTGCTCTTTCCCTGGGCCTGTGGTGCTCACTCTGACGTGCTGGCCTCTCGCTTGTTCCAGTTATTAGATGAAAATGGGGACTCCCTGATTAACTTCCGAGAGTTCGTCTCTGGGCTGAGTAAGGATGCGCTCTTACTGCATGCGCCTGAATCCAGAAAGGGACGATGGGGCGGTAACCCGGGCTCCTCAGTGCTGCCTTCGGACCGCAGCCCTGCAGAGAAGCGCAGAGGTGCTCTGCAGTGACAGGGAAGTCTTTGGTCTCCTTTTCCTGGGATGAAGGACCGGCTGTCACCGGCTCGCACACTCATGTCGCCCCCCACACGCCGTCCACCTCTCCGCCCAGTGTGTTTATGGCCCCATGTTCTCAGTGGATTCCTCTTCCGTTTATACTAGACATTTGTAGTAGAGTTGGCCCCCCTGACGTGAGGGCGTAGATTTAGCAAGCATTATGTCAGGCCGGCAGAATGAAGTAAGAAGGAACGCTTTTATTCTTCATTGTGCCAGCCTGCCCTTGGACCGTATACTTTAAATGACATGCCAAGGAAAGAGAAAAGGTCAGGCGTAGAGATAGTACTGATTCCGAAGAGCACCCTTAATCTGTAAGAAGAATGCTGAAAAGGTACAAAGGTCAAAGGATGCTAACCTCTTTAAGATCTTCTTGGGGTTAAAAGCCGTAAGAGCATCTGTCCTTGCTTACAGGTGGGACACAGAGGGACTTAGAACTTGTACAGATCTCTCCATCTGAACAGCTGCCTTTGAAGTAACAAGGACGGTGACCACTAGCACTTACGCCGCACTCAGTCTGTGTCAGGCGCTGCCCAACAGCTTACGTGCATTTGATTTGCCTAAAGACACACAACGGCACACTTTGTATTTAAACCCAGGCAGCCTAGAGACATAGATGATGTGGTACTGCTGTGCCTGAGTACTTAGTTGCAGTACTTGTCTTAGTTCCCCATAGATTGGGAAATTTAGAAACAGCAGAATTTTATTGCTCATAACTTTGGAATGGGGGAAGTCCAGGATCAAAGCAGGTGTGGCAGATGCAGCTTGATCGGTCCTTCTCTGAGTCCTCACATGGTAGGAAAGCAAACAGCCTCTCTCAGGCCACTTCCTTGCAGACACTAATCAATTCCTAAAGGCCTCCTTGCAGTTCTGTTGCATTGGGGCAGGGTCAGTTTTAATGTAGGACTTTTAGGGGAGCACAAGAATTCACACCACAAATTATCTCCTTACTATTGCTGTTCCCGTTTTCAGCTAAAGGGATAAACGTCAGAAAAGTAAAGTAAGTGGCTGGCACATTAATTTTTAGCCAGTAAATACAGAAGGGTGGGGGTTGAGACAGGGTCTCACTATGTTGTTAAGGTGGGCCTCAAACTCAGAAAGATCCTTCTGCCTCAGCCTCCCAAGTGCCGAGATTACGGACATACACCACTACACCAGGTCTTTAAGTGTCTGTTATTAACTGAACTGAGAAGCAGAGTGAGTATGTGTTGGGCCCAGCATGTAAATGAGGTCTGTCTGTCTGTCTGTGTCAAAGGCTTACCCTTTTTGCACCGCACTGAAACAACAGAAGAGATCTTCTTCTAGAACCCTACCCAGAGAGACACTGACTTAGAATTAACATGGGAGATAGCCACAAACCACAGAATACAAGAAAGTCCACAGTTTGAAGATGTGTCACCTTGGAGATAGCCTTGCCCTGAAATGATAACCTGTGCGGGGCAGAGCAGGCTGCCGCAAACCTGGATTTGGCTTCAGGAAACACAGACCTCTTCCGTGTGCTGTAAAGCCTTGAGCGGAGGGGAGACGCGTAGTCCAGAGCCATTTGAGTCATGGACTCTTGGAGCCCTGATAAAAACTGTGGACGTTTTCTTCCCAGGAAGCAGCATGTGCGTGTAATTACAAACTGCTGCGCTTTATGGGGTTTATGAACTTTACAGTTGAGGCCACTGGTTAAGGACCCTTGCACTGAATAAAAGTTACAGAACCCTTGGTAGAGAACGCGTGGGTGGGACGGGCTGCCTCTTGCTCGGATGGTCCCGGGCCTTGCGAGCGGTTGGGAGGTGTTGGGCGGCCGTCTCAGGAGGGTGAGGGCGGAGAGCCCTGCGCTACATGGAGCTCAGACAAGACAGTGTGTCCAGTTCCTTCCGGCCCAGATTCTGCGAGTCCTCTTTGCCTTCTTTCTCTAAATCCGATTCATCATTAAGCACTCTGAGGATATATTTTTACAAAGGATTTTCTGATTTTAGGAAAAAGTAACAGGATTCCTTTGATTGGAGCTATGATGATAAAATGGTAGATACATTCAAATCCATGAAAACACTTAGCAGAACTCAAAAACTGAAAGCAGTTGCTAAAATGACTAACTCACAGTGATCTCAAACATGTTTAGAGTTTATTTTGAGCTCGCATCGCTATTTCAGAGGTTGACTCCTGGTTCTGTCATCTTCCTTGGTACTAACCCTGGCTTATTACGTGCTGGCCCCATCCTAAGTTCTTTGTGTGGATTACCATGCATGGTCCTCACGTTTCATGGGGTCCTGATGTCAGGATCACTGGTATAATCTGCTATCACCCCACCTCAGAGAGGGGAACCCGAGGCTCACAGAAGCTCACTCTCCCATGGCACAGATGTAGTAAGTACACAGGATTTGAAACTAAACTTTCTGGCTGCAGAGCTCTTAAGGCAGATGTGCCTTGGCCAGAATTTTATTATGCAATGTCTTGGTTCCAGTTTGTAAAAAAGTCGATTTTTCAAGGCGGTGTTAAGGCTGGAGGGACTGCTGCCACACACACACGGCGCACACCGGTATTTCATGTCACTTCCAGGTGCCGCGTGCCATGGAGACCTCACAGAGAAACTCAAACTCCTATACAAAATGCATGTCTTACCGGGTAAGTAAGCCGCGCAGAGGAGCGCAGGTACAGCCACCGGGACCCGGCACACAGTCTCTCTCCTTGGTGTAACCTGTTGGCCTCTTTGATCTACCTGCCATTTATTGGTCGCTATGGACAGACTATGTTAAGTTCCTGAATCAGCATGTGCTTGATGCAGAGATCATTTCCCTGTCTCAAATAACAGAAGACAGCACAGGGAACTGCAAGAGAAAGAGTAAAAAGTGTTGGGTCAGATGCGGGATGCAAGGATTGGGGGAGACAAAATGAGACTGGGGTGCTGAGCCTGGGTCTTAGGGAAGCCCTTTTAACACTGGCGGGAGCAGGCGGCAGGCAGGTGGTGAGGTTTTGAGTTCCGCTTTGAACAAGGCCGGTCTCAGCTGGAGATATACAGCAAATACTAAGAAAATAAAAAGGAGAGATGGACACTAGCGATAGGGTAAAACTGTAAATTGGGGGACTTTCTTTATAGTATATGAGTACAGTGCCCTAAAATTGGTTCATAAAGTGTAATTGAAAGAATTTGGGAACTTCTCTGTAACAAGAAAGAAGTAAAGAGACACTGGTGCTGTGTTTTCTTAAAAGGAAAATGCAGTTAGGGATGGAATGGTACCCCCTGCTAACGCTTTAGAGACAGCAGGCCTTCGGGGCACCCCAGTGATGTGACCTCACCCCACCTTTATAATTTTAGTTTTTCATCTCTGTCATTTCATTGAAAAATTAAGGCCACTTTCATAGCCATACCCCTACCAGAATGATGATTATGCTTCCTCCTTTTCCAGAGCCGTCCTCTGATCAAGATGAGCCAGATTCTGCTTTCGAAGCAACTCAGTACTTCTTTGAAGATATCACCCCGGAGTGCACACATGGTAGGTGACCGTTCTCACCACGGCTGCTGTACTTACCTTCTGCAGGGCCCTCTGTCACTGGAAGAAGGCTTGCCTCCAGAGCCCGGCAACCCAAGAAGCATGTGAACACGGCCGACTACTACGCGTTACAGTCCTTCTGAAGTTTTGAGGTTGGGCAGCTACTGGGGAGCAGGTGCCTCAGCCCACTGAAGGGACCGTGTACCTGCTGGGGTTAAAAGCATGTTCTGCGTGGCATTTTGCCCGCTGTCCCTGCTAGGGTCTGGCTCATGTGGAACATCATCTTCTTGCCACACAACTGTCCAGAGCTGTGGCTGGCACTGCTGTCACAGGCTTCTCTTCTCTCTGTCCCTGCTGTGTATCAAACTACAACTCACAGGCCAGATGCAACTCATTGTCAGGGTTTCATACAGCCCATTAGCTGAGAATGGTTTTTATATTTTTAATGGATAAGCTAAAATTGTCTTAAAATCTTCACCATACAAAGTAACTGCTTTCTAATACCTTGAAATACTTACTTTCAGAATTGTATATATGTAACTATGTGTACATACGTACACATAAAACTGGAATCCAACTATATAATTTTTGGTTTTTTTAAATGTCAATTTCTGACATTGTGTGTATTTTATTTAATATCCTTTTTTTTTATTCATTTTAAAATCTAGTGAGAATGTTAATGTCATTAAGTCTTTGGAAGCATGGTTTTTAAAGAGCTACATAATAACCACTGCATGGGTGTACTTACATTAAATATATGTGGATCATTTTCATATTAAAAAGAGAGGGCTGGGTATGGTGGTGCCTGCTCACCTGTAATCCCAGTGCTTGGTAGGCTGAAGCAGGAAGATCACCACAAGTTCAAGGCCAGTCGGGGCTATGTAGTGAGTTAAGGCCAGCCTGAACTACATTGAGAGATCTTGTCTCAAAAACAAGAAGAGGGGAGAGTAATTCCCCAGCGACAGATAATAAATTCTCCTCACTCTGGCTGGGGCTACTGATCTGACAAAACCCCCTTGGGTGGCTAAGGAAGGGCTGCAGTACTCTCTGCCAGCTGCTGCTTGCATGGGGCACTGAGGCCCTTCCGACCTCCCTCCTTTGAAGCCTTCTATGTCCCTGGTGTACTGTTTTAAAAAGAAAAGAGCATAAGTGAATTCTTCAAAAGTAAAATTTTTGAAATTCCAAATCATGCATCTTGAAGGACTTTATAGCACATAACATTGTATTATAAAAATTGTTTTTCTTCTGGAACATAGATTTTAAGCTCATTAAAAGAGTGGATTTTGCTGGGCTTGGTTGCGTGCACCTGTAATCCCAGCACTGGGAGGCTGAGGCAGCAGGATCACCATGAGTTTGAGGCCAGCCTAAAGTGCATAGTGAAGCCCTGTCTCCGAAAGACAAAAAAAAGAAAAAGATTTTTTTGCAGAACCTACATGCAAAGTGAAGATGATAATGTGGCAGACTGGGGAGAGGAATCACATTCCCTGGGGCCAGCATCCCCATTTTTAAGTGACCTTGTGTCTTAAACTTTTAATTGTATATTGAACCCCAGGTGTGAGAAAGAAATCTGGGAAAACCCTTCATCTAGAGAAATGGTTAGCAAGTAAATAAGGGACAGCCAATAAAATTTGAAATTCAGATTTGTAAAAAGATTTGCTTAGTATACATATATTCTTTACAATAGTATGGATACATGTATATTAAAATGTAGTCATTGTTGATCTGAAGTTCGAATGTAATGATACGCTGGTGTGGTTCGTTTCATTTTGTCTTGTTTTGTTTTGGTTTTTCGTTTGATTTCGTTTCATTTTGTTTGCTAGGTTGGGCCACCCTCCTCAAGGCTCTTCTCTTTTCTTGTAGAATGCTAGTCCGTGGCTGTACCACATAACGTTTTCTTTCTTTCTTCTCAATATTTCGGGGTAGTTGTTGGATTGGATAGCAGAAGCAAGCAGAGCGCAGATGACGGCTTTGTCACAGTGAGTCTGAAGCCAGACAAAGGTACAGATACTCTCTTCTGTGTTTGCCTTCGGCTTATTTGTTGCCCTGTGAACACTTATTTCTTGACATTTGGGTTTTAGGGAAGAAGGTAAATTCTCAAGAAAATCGCAATTATCTGAGACTCTGGACTCCAGAAAATAAGTCTAAGTCAAAGAATGCAAAGGATTTACCCAAACTGAATCAAGTAAGTGCGGCTCATTCATTTCTAACCTTGTAGCTGTTTTTTTGTTGTTGTTCACACATAAATGTGGAATAAACACCCCTCAGAGAAAGTGAGAACTTCGGGGTATTCAGTTACTCTCTGTTTGGATCTATTTTATATATGTTTTTAGGCATCAAAAATATGTTCAGTTGTAAGAAAATTACCTCTTCAGAGAAAATTAAAACCACAAGACAATTTTGCGAGTCCGTGCATTTCATCCCAATCGTTAGAAATATCTTCAGGTACTCAAAAGTGAGCCTGTGCTGTTTCATGTCACCATGCTTAGCTGTAAAGATGCCTGCCCTATGCTTTCCTTAAAAAGCTAAAGTGTGGGCTGGGGATGTAGCTCAGCAGCGCAGCACCAGCCTGGCAAGCGCAAGGTCCTGAGTTCGATTACCAGTTCCAAAAAAAAAAAAGCTACAGTATAATGAGTGGGAAACCAAGACAAATGATTAGCACACAAGATGATTTGCTGGCAGATGAAGAGAGAAGTCACCTGTTGGGTGCAGGGGTTGTGTCCCAGGGGTGAAGGACTGTGTGCTGGGGAGGGGCTGGGAGCTCACCTGGGAACAGCTGAGGTGAGAGTGTGCAGGTGAGAGAGACTGGGGTCTGGAGTTTCCTTAAGGTACTTCATTAGGGAAATCAGATGTAGTGAAGCAAAAGCAGGACAGTCTTTTCTGACTCCGGGTGATACATCCATGAAGCTTTATTAGTTCATTCTTTCTGCAAATGGAAGTTGAGAGTATTGGCCCACGCCTGTAATCCCAGCACTCTGGGAGGCTGAGGCAGGAGCATCACCATTTTGAATCCTGCCTAGGCAATGTGGGAAGATCCTGTCTCAAAATTTTAAAAAACTAAAATAAAAAGGGCTGGGGATGCAGCTCAGTTTGAAGGTCCTAGATTCAATCCCCAGCACCTGATCCCATCCTCCCCCCAGAAAGAACCACTAGTAGAGAGACTATACACATGTCCAGCCGTCCTCCACCGAGGACTTGCTGGGGACCACTCGGGTCTTCACTAAAATGCCGTTTCAGCCCTGCCCCTGTGTCCTGCAAGTGTTCACGCTCTCTCTGTCGCTTCCCAGGGCCAGTTCATCGAGCTGTGCAAAACCATGTACAACATGTTCAGCGAGGACCCCAACGAGCAGGAGCTGTACCACGCCACGGCGGCGGTGACCAGCCTCCTGCTGGAGATCGGGGAGGTGGGCAAGCTTTTCATCGCACAGCCCACCAAGGAGGCGGGCGGCGTGGGTGGCGGGCAGCCCATCGCAGCCGGGCTCTTCCCGAAGAAGGGGCCAGGCCAGCCCTATGGGGTGGAGGCCGCCGAGCCGCCCCCGGCCGACAGCGAGGAGCACTCCCTCGGGGGGCAGATGGAGGACATCAAGCTGGAGGACTCCTCGCCCCGGGACAACGGGGCCTGCTCCTCCATGCTGATCTCCGACGACGACACCAAGGACGACAGCTCCATGTCCTCGTACTCGGTGCTGAGTGCTGGCTCCCATGAGGAGGACAAGCTGCACTGCGAGGACATCGGGGAGGACACGGTCCTGGTGCGCAGCGGCCAGGGCACCGCGGCGCTGCCCCGCAGTACCAGCCTGGACCGGGACTGGGCCATCACCTTCGAGCAGTTCCTGGCCTCCCTCTTGACGGAGCCTGCCCTGGTGAAGTACTTTGACAAGCCCGTGTGCATGATGGCCAGGATCACCAGTGCCAAGAACATCCGCATGATGGGCAAGCCCATCTCCTCGGCCAGTGACTACGAGATCTCTGCCCTGTCCGGCTGACCTGGGCTTGGGAGAGCAGGGGCGCAGGGGGTGGGCTTTTTTATGTTCCTCTGTGTTGGGGTTTTCTTTTCCTTTTAAATTAAATATTTATTCGTACCTGGCTCAAAGCCAAGCGTTTTCATAATGTAATACAGTGGAAACTGTTGAGAAATATTGACACACCTCAGTAGGCTCAGCACACTCCTGCTGGGTGAGGGGGCGACCAGAGTACAGTTCATTCCGTGAATTTTCCCGGAAAAGATGAGTCCGTCAGTGATCCTATATGTGTATTATAACTTATTAACCTTGCTGTGAGCTGTATACATGGTTTTAAAAAATATTGCTGTTTAACGTTAAGTAAGGCAGCCATCGTTTTGTGTATTTGGGCTTTTAAATAAAATTAGAGCTGTAAGGAAAGAGAAATGCCACAGATAACTGTCCTTAGAGGGGAAAGGCTTGGTCAGCGGGGGTCAATCCTATTCCACTTCAGCAAGTATTACAAGTATTTTTTAACATTTGAAAAATATTCTTAAAAATCCCCTTCAAAAATCCAGTCAACACACGTTCTTGTTTAAGGGGAAAACATTTAGGGTTCCAAACAGTTGTGAAAATGTAAGTGTTTTCTATAGAATGTTGGAATAACACTCAAATCTAATCAAGTAGGGCAGATACCAGGCCAACTTTGCACAGACGGATTGTTCAGCTTTTGTGTCACTGGCCACAGGTCACTGCAAGTGAGTCATCTTCGCTTACAGAGGATCCGAAGGTGACAGCAAGTGGACAGGGGGCTCAGGATAGGCTTTGTTGTTTTGCTTTTGAAAGAGTAAAAGTACTGATGCTTCTGATACTGGATTTTCAGCTTCTTGTTATTCAATACAAGTAAAGAAAAAAAAATTTAGAAATGAACTTTACCATTTCTATACTCTTCATAGATTGAAGAAATTATACCATGTATCGCATATGACCATCTTCCCATTAAATCAATGTAGAGATAATGTAAACTGAGCAAAAAAATTCTGCAAGCTAGTGGAGCTAAATGTTTTAAAACAGAACTTGTCACTTTATATACGTAAAAGAATAGTATGCTCTATCTATTTCCTGAGTGGATATGGAAATGAAAACTAGCACACCTGCACTTTGAATTCTTGCTTCTTTTTTAAATTATTATTGCAATTATGATTTAGGGTTTGGTAACTTTTTTTTACAGACACTGGAAGGCTTTTGTCTTACTGTTGAATTCACAATCATGTTCACATTTCCTTTGCTGATTCTGAATATTCCTTCCAACACATTCCTTTATCATACATGGTGTCCTTATTTTAGCTGTTGCTGCTGTAATTTTTAATTTTGTTTACAGAATAATTTTTAAACTGTCAAATGAAGTAGTGTTAACCTCAAGTAGGATAAATGTGAACAAATAAAATACTTCAGATATGGCTTCCCATTTTAGTGCTTGAGTCTCTGCCTAAAGCAATAATATTATTTCTTTGACAATTTTATAAGGAAAATTTTATTACACAACATTCTAAGTAATAAATTTTTATAGGCATGTATAATTGAGATAAATGTGTAGCGTATCAGTGACCATGTTTTAAACAAAAGAGAGAATTGTTACCAGCTAATTTAAAATACTTGACCTCTGCCAGGCATGGTGGTGCACATCTGTAATCCTAGCACTTGAGGGGCTGAGGCAGGAGATTGCCATGAGTTCGAGGCCAGCCTGAACTACATAGTGAGTCCCTGGCTCAGGAGAGGAACACTTGCCCTACGTAAGTATAAACAGGGTACAGAGTCCTCTGTTTAATCATGATTAGTACAGGAATGCACCGTCTGCTATGTAATTAAGGAACCACACATTTATGTGGTTTGACTGTTACACATTGCATATGTTTCTGTTGTCTTTAAAATCACTTAAATATGTCAGGAAATAGCTGTGAGCAGGCATGGTGGCACTTGGCTGTGATCCCAGAACTCTAGAAGGCTGAGACAGGAAGGTCGAAAGCTTGCGCCCAATCTGCACAACTTAATATCTTAGACCATGACTCAAAACATAAATAAAAAAAGGCTGGGGATATAGCTCGGTGTGAAGGCCTTGGGTTCAATCCCCAGTGCCACCTTGGCGAGGCCTGCTCCCGGCTCGCCTTCCCTCTGGCTTAGCTCTCTGGACATGGGACACTCTAACTTACCTCTCTCATCTTTCAGGTGCTGGCTGAGGCTGGGAGGGTGGAGGTGGATTTGCAGTGGATGGGTGAAGAGCCCTGACCCTCTACATACGGAGTTGCTTAGTAACTGATGCCAGGGCTTCTGCCAAGGCACAGGGAAGATAGCAGGGGGCACACTGAGGCCCCACGTTCTGACATAGTCTTACTTTGGGGTGTCCCTGTATCGGGATGGGCCACCAGCTGGAAATGAGCTAGTTGCAGAAAATCTTGCTGCTCTGGGAAGTCCCTTGAAACTGAGAATAAGCACATACTCTGTGACCCCAGAGATGGGGACCGCCAGACTGCTCTGCCTTCTCTATGCCGTGGCTCAAGAAAACCAAATCAACAATAAATGTCCTCATGCCCCAGAGCCACTTCCTCTGTCCAGTGCTTCCATGCACCGAGCAGCAACAGTCACTCTGACTGCCCCTCGCCTCTCTGTCCACCTTCTAGACACCTTTCCGGATGTGAACCTTGGGCTTGGAGCTCCTGCTCTTCATCCTGGGCACCAAGATGATGTTCCCTGCCTGGCTGCCTTCTCCATCTCTGAGATGTAGGAAGGAGACGTGTACGTTGCCTCCAAGGAGGTGAGGATTCTGGCGAAAGAAACTCATCAGAGCTGAGCATGAGATTCAAATACAACACTCAGTGTGCGGGTACCTCCCGTGACCTGTGGGACACCCAAGTCTATGGTGGTCCCCTCTAGTGCTGCTTAGACACAGATGTGTCCCTGCAACTTCCTACATCAGAACTCCTAATGTACCCATGAAAACTGCAGATTCCTGGCCCTGCCTCGGGCTTCTTAAGAGTGTTGGAAGCCTGGGACTCAGCCTGTGTAGGGAGTGGGTGAAGCTGGAAATTGGTCGCCACGTGCAGGTGAGGCAAGACAGGTCGGAAAACAAAGAGCACCTGAGGCAAGCCATTAGTTGTTGCTAGGTAAGGCTGTGTCACATGACACCGTCACATGTATAAACAAACGCCCTATGATGGTTGAGCAGTTTCCTTTCCTCCCATCCGGAGAGAGAGGGCTTCACCTGACCTCAGCTTTTATCTCTTTATTTTCCCCATCCTTTCACAGTCCCCCACAACTCCAAGAGCAACGCCTGTACTCCGGCAGGCCCGCATCAGAATGCACACCTCATTATGGACACTGGAATGGGAGACCACTGGATCAGTCCCAATGGGAAAAGTGAGGCCCACAGAAGCTAGGCAGCAGGTCCAAGACCCCAGACCCAAGCCAAGAGGGTTGGTAATGCCCAAAAGACCCACTGAAGAAGTCAGGAAGATGGCAGACCCCCCCCCCCAGGTGTGGGCTGGAAGGCAGCATTGGCTGAGGGGTCCCCTCCATGCAGTCTTCCCCCGCAGCCTGAAACTTACAAATGAGCTCACTCTTCTTCCCAAGGAAGAGATCTGGAAATGTCAGAATTTTCTGCCCCAGCTCTGCCACTTACCAACCCCAGACACAGGGCTCAGCCGCTCTGTGGCTCGGTTTCCTGTGCTGGAAAATGGAGAGACGTACCTGGCTGCTGGGAGGACAGAGTGAGTCAAGCCACTCAGGGTGTACTGGGTCGTCTGTCTGCTCCCTGTGCTGGGGCATCCAGCCTGTTCTCCTGAGAAGGGCTGCCCTGCTCTCCTCAATGAAACCTGTCTCCCCTGCTTGCTCCCCAAGGAAGGGCTTCTCCCCACCCGAGCTGCACACCCGTCTCTGCACCCCAGACAGCCCTGTGTTACCTGTGTCGTCTTCCGTCTCCAGCCACACAACCCAACCTCTCCAAAGTTCCCACAGAGCGCGGAACAGCGCGCGGCCGAAGAAGCTGGGTGTCTGCCCAGCTCTGCCCAGTCACCGGGAAGCACCCAGACTCCTCTGTGACCGTGCTGGTAGGCGCCAGGGCCACGAAAAGCCTATGCGTGCCCCCTTCCAGTCCCCGCAGAAGTAGCCAGGCCTCACAGGTGCACTGTGGGAGTCTGGGAAAGACTCAGTGTCCTCCACAGCTGTCCACCCAGGACCCGTCACTCAAGGGTGCTGAAGGTGCTTCCCATAAGAAGCCAGGGCAGGAGAAATGCATGGAGACGCTGTCTCAAAATAAAATGTAAAAATCGCGCTAAGGGCAGAGATGTATCTCAGGGCCATAAGCCCTTGCTTCAATCCCCAGTTTCAAGGAGAAAAAATCCCAACCAGACCTCGCTCAGCTCCTGCAATGCACCAAGAGCTGCGCCCTGGGGAGTGTAGCCCTACTTTGAAGTCCTGAGCAAGTTCTGGCACTGGGCCCTGCAGGGGTGGTTGGGGAGTTAGCAGCTCAGTCGAATTCCACGCAGGCCCACAGTTCCAGGCTGTAAGGACGCCGTCCAGCGGAGGGCGCGGGCGCGCCGGCAGCTTTTGCGGCCAGATGCCCCGCGGCGCTTGCTTTCTGGCCGGGGATTTGATTTGGGCGCCTAGTTACCGAGCTCAGGCGCCCTTCCTGACCTCCTGCTCCTCCTCTGGCTGGAGCTCGGCGACAGGAAAGTGGTTCTAGCCTTAGAGACCTAGATTTTGGAATAGCTCCGTGCAGAATGAAGATAGAATCTCTGTCTATCCCAGATGTCACCGGGAGTAGGTTGAGAATAACTGGTTTCCTCTAGCAACAGCTCACGGTGCAAATGCGTAAGCCACCTTACAGTAACAACCTGAAGAATATTTTTAAAGTTTTAAGTGCATCCGTCAGCAGGGGTGGAAAGCAAGGGGACCCATCAAGGGTATTCCCGGGTTAGAGGCTCTGAGTACTGGACGCAGTATTTCAAAGCCAGGCTGTTCCCTTACTCCAAACCGCACGCTGTCCTGCCCTTAGGACACCTGACACGGGAGAACAGAGCACAAAGAAGAGCGAGTATTTCGAGAACTATGTTGAACAAAAGCGACAGCGGACAAATCTCGATCTGATTTTAGAGGGAAAGCTTTCAGCGTCTCTCCATTAAGTATCATGTTGGCCTTGGTTTGTCATAGGTGGCTTATATTCCTGTTTCCTTGAGATTTTTCTTTTTTTTTTCGTGAATGGATACTGAATTTTGTCAAACGCTCTTTCTGCATTTATTGAGCTGATCAGATCGTTTTCATCCTTTCTTCTGTTTATGTGGTGTATTACGTACATTAAGCCATCCTTGCATCCCTGGAATGAATGCTATTTGGTCATGATGTATGATCTTCTTGTTGATTTGCTACATTTTGTTTGCCAAAGTTTTATTGAGGATTTTTGCATCTATGTTCATTCAAGAGATTGACCCATAGTTCTCTTTTTTGGTTGGGTCTTTTTCCAGTTTTGGAATCAGGGTACTGCTTGCTTCCAGGAATGACCTTAGAAGTACTGTTTCCCTTCCCATTTCATTAAAGAGTTTGACCGTTACTGGTGTTAGATCTTCTCTAAAGTTCCTATAGAATTCAATAGTGAATCCAGGACCTGAGTTTTTTTTACATGGTCTTTTTTTATTACTTCTCTGATTTCACTGACTAGTCAGGGCTTATTTAAAATTTTTATACCTTCTTGGTTCAACTTTGGTGGTTCATATTTATCTAGGAATTTATCCATTTATCCTGAGCTTTCCATTTTATTAAAGTACAAGTTCTCAAAGTAGTCAACTCTGATCTTCTGTAATTGGGCAGAATACATTGTGATTTCACCTTTTTCATTTCTAATGCATGGATTTGGATCTTTTCTTTTTAAAATAAATTTGGCCATGTATTTGTCTATTTTGTTCAGTCTTTCAAAGAGCCAAGTCTTCTATTAATTGGTTCTTTGCTTTTTTTAGCCTCAATTCCATCAATTTCTCCTCTGATCTTTACAATTTCCTTCCTTGTACTAGCTTTGGGTTTGAACTGTTCCTCTTTTGCTAAAACCTTGAAGTACATCATCAGATTATCTCAGTGTGTTCTGTTTTCCAAATGTGGGAAACCACTGCTATAAATTTCCCTCTTAAGACTGCTTTTATCGTGTTCCTTAAGTTTTGGTATGTCATACTGGCAGTAGTGATTGTAGAAACTGACTAATTTCTTCTGTGACCCATTGATTATTAAAGAGAGCATTATTTAATTTTAGTATGTCTGCATAATTTCTGTGGTGTCTTTTGCCATTAACTTCTACCGTCACTGCACTACTGTCTGATAATATCCACATGATAATTGCACTTCTTTTGCATTTACTTAGGAATGCTCTAGGAGCTAACCTGTGGTCTGTTTTAGAGACAGTCCCATGTGCTTCCAAGAAGAATGTGC